TTAGGAGTTCGTTTCAGTGAAAACATAAGCACCCGTGTTTCTAGCAAAATTGTACATTTGAAACCTTACTTTGAGAATGAGAGATGTGAAGAATCACTTAGTTTTGAAAATTGGCGTAAGAGATGAGGGCTAACGTTCCCCAATTTCGGCTGGAATGATAATTTCCATTTTATTTCCAAAATTCAATTGAATGTTCCACTACTCTATAATTGCTCCTCAGAGAAAAAGCAATTAAATTGGAATCACGTGCTTACTTTACCGAAAGGAAATGAACGTAAGTTTCAATTTTTTTGTACTCTCATTTTTCGAAGAGAAATTATTCAGAGGCTTTTTTTCCACGTTACCTTCAATCCGTACTTGGAACGGATTAAATTCCGGAGGTCCCGGGAAACGTAACACTGGCACTTGACAACAAGATTTCTCTTTGGAACGGCAGCAAGTTGGTACTCGCCAGTGGGGTCTTTGAAAAATCCATGTTTCATTTTGCATCTCTTTTCGCACCCATCTGCTGAAAACATCAGGAGTCCTTTCCAATGACGCAACCTCCCGGAGGCTGCAAACATGCAAAATCGCAGTCGAAGTAAATTATTCGATAATTTGTGTGCGCGTCTCAAGAAATCAGGAGTCATAACTCGCTGACGCCTGTCCTGTCAATGCGTGCGTCAGCAAATCACATCAGCATGATGAAGAACTTCAGAACTACAAGCTCGGCTCAGAGCGCCTTCACTTGATAGTGATACTTCACGCATAGTCTCACAGCTAGTTTGGTGGCCTATGTGATCCAAATCCAACTTGAATGAGTTCAGCATTAAGAAACCAAATTTTCCAGAAACCAAGATGTCTACTTATTGTATGTAGAATGAAACACCAGGCAAAGTGGGAATTCAAGTTTTGTGATGTATTTCTTCTCATTAAAAGTTCACTTACAGAGCGCAAATGTGCGCAATGAAAATATTGGAAATAACTCCTAATAAGGATATTGACTTTTTTCGATGCATCAATTCAAATTTTCCGCTTATAAAAAAAACAATAATCTATTTGAGTTATTTGCGCACTAAACGTTACCGTAACAGTCTTTGCGGTAATAAAACATGACTACCTCAATATCAGCGCTATGGCTCAGTCATTCCTCGTTGTTTATTCTTCGAAAAACGCAGGAAAGAGATGAGATACTGCCAACTGAGAAGCCTGCAAAAACTGTATGGGTGTGCGAATTGATTAATTGTTTTTCCTGTGAGCGGAAAAATCATACTTTTAGCAACCGATGCCAAGTAAAAACGTTATATGACTAAACAGCTAAAATGAGCCTTTATAGCGCTAATAATTTTTTTCTCAAATTCATAAACGAAGTCTGCATTTTAGCAAAATGGGTCGATTTTTTAAAGCTTTTTACTTCGATTATAGATTCAATGTAGTGGTAACTAATAGAGAATTTGCAGGCATCTGAAATTTTGTGGATTTCATCTTTAAAATGATACTGCCAGGAAAACTAAACACGAGGATATCCTTGGTCTCTAAATTGAGCAATTATTGGAGGAAATATGACAAAATAACCCAATCTCACAAAAGTTCTCACTTTTAAATCTATTTTTCTCCAATTTCCCATGTCAGAAAAAAAGTATGAGAAAAATGCGAACTCAGCTCATTTGGCACTCTCAGATGCAGCAATAAAATTTGTGTGTGCAAATTCTCCATTTGAAATCGATTCATGAGAACTATTCCTCACCCGCAGAACATCGTTGGAAGAACAGTGCTGTCGAGAAGATGGAAAGTAGGAAGAGGATACCGCTCCGCATTTTTATGCCACGAGCCCTCGGCAAAATTGTCACCTGTTAATTGAACTTGTCTTCTCCGCGAATTTGTCAGTTTTCCTGTTTCCTGATTGGAAAAACTTGCTTTTCTTTTGTAAGAGTCATTGAGATTATCATCTGGCACCAAATTACTGGCGCACCCCTCTCTTTTTTTTACCCGGTTAATGGTCACGCAACTGAATGCCGTCACCTCTGTCAAATTCGTCTTCTAATTGCCTTTTTAAGTCGTAGTCCTCAACTTCGGCCTTATCGAGAGTACCTTTATAGGGAGAGTATTTATCGAAAATTTGGAGGTTAGGTTTGATCAGGTCATGTAGCTCTTGGTGCCCAAAAAGGCAGCCAACCTATGAACTCGAATCATCCAGCGGTGCTTATTTAAACTCCAAGAGTAGGTACACTGGTCAAAAAATTATAAAAGCACGTATAAAACCTTGATTTTGCATAAATATTCTCAGTTTCAAAGTCTTAATCCTTTAAAACGCTTGTTTACAACGCTATTGATTAATCTGACCGGAAAATTTTATTGAAAGAGGTCTCCGTTCTTTGTCAATTTGCCCCTAATCGTCCGAAAGACGTCGTTCCGAAAGAAAGAAAGAGGTCGTTTGTATGACTAAAAATCGACTGACTTTATTTCAATATTACATAAAAAGGGTATTTTTCATTTTCTTGCTAGGCTTTTGTTAGGCAAGACAGCCGTAAGTGCTATCTTTTACATGCTTTCGTGGTTGCGTTTTGGACACACAATAAACACATTCAGGTCAGAAATTGGCAGGAGAGGGCGGCACTTTACTTGAAAGCATTGTTTTCATTGGTTCTGTAGAGGAATATTGTCACTTACTGCTGTCTGGCCTAAAACTACGTCATTTTTTGCGTACTTACGGCTTTCTGAAATGGCTCATTTTGATACAATCAAGATGAATCTTCCTGTTGTCGCTATTTCAGTGAATCCCTCTAAAAGAAATTGGACGAATTTTGAAGGAGAACTCGAGGAGGGAAACTCGATATCGAAAAGTTGACACTTAATCAGCCGTGCTAAGGAATAAAGCCGTATAAACATTTGGGAGCTGTCTTTCCTTCGATAAAATTTTTATTTTTTAGAAAAATTATGAATATTTTTCGTTGAAATTTTCAGGAACTTAAGGTGGGATTGCGAACAAAATTATCTGAAAAATTGGCAGGAAAATATCCATCATTTTACCAGGAACTTCGTGTTTGACCAAAGGAAATTCGGCAACGGCTGAAGGTTCATTTTTCATTAGCACGGCAGTACTGCTCTCCTCGCTATCACGGCAGTACACCAAGGTAGATTTACACAGGTATGGACAAGTTGAAAATTTCCCATGAGCCTCAGTACGTGTCACATGACTACGTGACGTAGGTTAAGGGGCCCGTTTTTTAATTAAATTACAATCAAATTAACATTCAAACGTTTGTGCGTTTAAACGTTAAAATTAATATCGCATTATCAAAATTGTGCAAAAAATCACACAGCATTTTGACGAACGATAAACCGAACATAATAAATCAAAATAATCAAAACATACAAAATGGCGGAAGTTAAGGGGCCTCTGGAGAGCCAATCAGAGGCCAGTTGTTTAGTTCTGTCCATACCTGTGTAAATCTACCTTGGCAGTACACCTACATTGCCGCACGGGGCTAGAGTTGTCTCTTCTTGGCTTCCTCCATTTCGTTGAATTTGCGAATTTGCTCCTTTAGCTCCCGATCTCTTTCCTCGTCCGATTTGAAGACCACCCCTTCCGCGTACTGCAGATTAGTTAGAACATCCCCGAAGCCGGATGCACTGTCCTTCTGGGAGGAAGTCCCGCTGGCCGCGCTGGCTGTTTTGGTTAAAGCGGCTTTTTTAGCCGCAAGCAGCTTCTCTTGTTCGGCGGCGGCTCTCTGAGCCGCTTGCAGTTTCTCCTCGGCAGCCCTCTTCTTCACGATGTCATTTAGTTGTTCGTAAGTGATGAACACCATCCCTAGATTCTGCAGCTCGTCCCGGCCTTTCTTCGTTCTCCCGAAGAAGTTGAGAAGCGCGTATCTCTTGGCCACCTGAGAATGAGATACAGATAGTTAAACTTAATGGACCACTAGACAAGGTACGAATTAAAGGATCCTGCAGGCCGATTATTGAAACTGATAGACAAAGCTGTAGACAAAGACAACAAAAGGGATTTGGAGGGATCCTATTGGTGGAAGCGGGTGGTGGCAATGGACATAGGAGGTAGGTAATGGACTAACTAACGGCAACCCACCAAAGACCCGACAGTTAGTCCATCATTTTCTTCCTTAGTCTATAAGAACCAACCATGTCAACCAATAGGATCGCTCTATACTCCTTATGTCTTCTTTGTCTATCAGTTTCAATAATCGGCCCGCTGATACAGTAAAAGTTCGACAATGCAGGACATTAAAACCACAAAATATCAAAGAAATAAATATAATTAAAGTGGTTTGGAAATCATTAAAGACCCGGAACCACCTTTATATTTACAAAACAGACTTCATATTTTCCTTTAATACATATTCTATTTATCACTTTAAATGAGAGTAATCCATGCAGAGTGTGCAAACATTTCAATATCATGAGTTGAAAAACGCTGACTCTGCGAGTTTAAATATTAGAGCTTAACACAGAGTGGAGCGGCGTGCTGCCAGCGCTAAACGCGCACTAGCGCCTACAAACCTAATTGGATACTTCAAGCATTGCGCAATGCGTGAAGTATCCCTGTTAGGTTTGTAGGCGCCTATGCGCCTGGTTGCCCGCCGCCGCGCTGCGGAGTGCCACGGCGCTTCAAGCAACTATTTCACATCAGAGGTATTGCATAGCATCATACGAAATTGAAGGCGCTCCAACATATGATGAATGACAGGCATCCTTTAAGAGTACGAAGCTTTCCTCGCAAAATAAATCAAGATACCACGGCACCAAAAGCCAGCGATAGTCCAAAAATTCACGAAATCCTTACTTAATATATTATTATTTACATCCGTTTTTAATAACTTTTAGCATAATTTTTGTAAATCATTAAAAAAAAGTGATTAGACTTAGGCCGAAACATTCTTGAGTATGCCGTCAAGAAGATTTTATTTTGAATCAAGATAAAATAACTGAATTAAAGCGGGTTCTTGCTTGACGTAAGTGATGTTTCTTCTTACGTAAATATTTTTTTTCTTTAATCAATCATTATTTTTTTTATTGATTCTTAAGGAAATCTTCTCGGCGGTAAATTTGAGCATATTTCTGCTTGAATCAAGCCACTTTTTCCTCCAATGAAGTTCAAAAATCATGCTAAACGTTATTGAATACAAATATCAGGACTTAGTAAGTTTTTCGACTACCGCTCTCTTTTTGTCGTCTTCACTCGATTTAATTTGCGAGGGAACTTCGTGCTTTTGAAAGATGTCATCAACCATGACACGTTGGGGTTCCTTCAATCTCGTATGATACTGTGCAACACCTCCGTGGCGAAATAGTGGTTCGAAGCGCCGCGGTACACGGCGCCGTCGCGAAGTTATCATACACAGAACAAATCTAAGAGCTTGTAGCTGAGACGCTGAGGCCAATCAAAATGAGGTTTATTTGGTTCGGGTATAACAAGATGGGGTTTTCTTGGAAGATAATTTGCACTGTTAAAAATCCACGATTTATTATGAGTGAACAGCCGGCGTGAAAAAAAATCCAGCGCGAATTTCACGCCACATTCTGAGTGAATAGATCAGAGCGTGAATATCACCAACGACGGACAAAGTAGTTGAGCCCCCTCAAGTAGCGTGAATTCAGCAATATTTGTTGTGAACGTCGAATGGCAAAGTGGTAACGCGTTCGTCCACCACCGCCGCAACCCGAGTTTAAGTCCATGCTGCAGCAATTCCGTTTTACATTTGCCTGTCAGATTTTCACCCCGGCCAGAGCGCGAAATTCACGCCTAACTTATTTCGCACCGGATCTATCCACTCAGAGTAACAGGTGATCAAAATAGCAACTGAGTAAGCGTGAATTTCGCGCCGGGATCTTTAACAGTGGTGATTGTGATTTCTCGATGAGAACTAAAATAGAAAATTTTTCTTCCTGATTTACCTTTTTGCTGTGGTGTTTGGTAATGTAATCTGTAAGCTCCTTTGACACCATGCACTGACACTTTCCGGGGATGATCTTTCGCGAGGCCCTAGAAGCGAGCTGGTACTGGCGAAGGTCGTCCCTGAAATACCCGTGTTTAAATTTGCACCTGTCTTCACATTTGTTCTTGGAGAACATGAGCAGTCCCTTCCAGTGCCGTAACTTCCATGAGACTAAAAACATCCAAAATAATACACAGATAAATAATAGATCCTTTGACGTCGGCATAGTCATACCGTACGCCCTCTGGCAGTCCCTCAGCGATAAGGGAAAGTTCTACTTTCGACATTCCTCCATGTGAGCCTTAAAATTATCGTCTCGCTGGCTGCACACCACAGGTTGAGCAAAGCGATGGACAGACAATAGAGAATTTGCAGGTGTCTGAAATTTTGTGGATTTCATCTTTAAATGATACCGTTAGGAAAACTGAGCACGAGGGTATTCTTGGCTTCTAAATTGAACGATTACTAGAGAAAATATGACAAAGTAACCGAAGCTGCTAATGTACATGTGTTTTAACGGAAAATGCCGCCAAATGACGTCATGAGGCACATTTTCTCACTTTTAAATCAAATTTTCTCCGATTTACCACGTCAGAAAAAAATTATGAAAAATACTGCGAACTCAGCTCATGAGGTACTCTCAGACGAAGCAATGAAATTTTTATGTGCAAATTCTCCATTTGTTTGATCAAATTGTTGGGCGAACTGCGCACTCAACACTTTCGACTTAAAATCTGACAAAAGGTTAAAATAGAGCTGTTGGTCATGAGGAAATGTCGAACAGAGCAATCTTCGCCATTGCTTGCATAGGTACCAGTGGAGGGTATCTATTTTCCTCTTGTAAAGAAAGAAACAGAACTTATTTTAGATTATGCTTATTACATATAGAAGGGAACTTATCCTTACGTGTAGAACATGGATGGAAATACAGTACTGCTAAAGAGATGAAGATCAGGATGAACATGCGTTCTCTCATTTTCGTCGGTTCGTCTTCAACACGGGCACGCTCAAATTGTACTTATCCTCTGCAGATATGCCAGCTTTTCTCTTTCTTCGGGGGAGGATAAATTGCGCGTATGGTCCTGACATGCGGTTCAAAATCGCTGACGCGCGTACGTTTTTTTTGTCCCGGACGTTTGTCACGCAACGTCACTCGACAGACGTCCGTTGCTGATTTTGTCGTTTCCCGGACGAAAGAACGTAACTCTATTCCAAGGTTGCAAAATTGACGCAAACGCTTGAATTATAACGAGGCGGGGTGCTCTAGTTTAATTACAAAGCGAGTGGAAATTTTGCAACTGGGATATCCAGTTGCGTTCTTTCGTGGGAAAAACGACGATTGACATAGTGGGATTTCCCCTCCCCCCGTTTTTTGAATGACCATCAGAATGGATCACTAGACAAGGTACGAATTTAAGCAATCTGATACATGTTTCTTAACCAGAATTTCACGTAAAACACGATTTACACAACAAAAATTACTAAAACTTACTCTTAACGAAGGTATTAACGTTTATATTACACATTGGTCACGAGGAATTTGAACTGCCCGCTCACAAGAAACTCAAAGCTCTACGTGAGTCAAATCGCGCACTACAACGGTTTCAACAAGCTTCTCAATCGAGCAATGTTCATTTTCCACCATGTGTTGTTCAAACTATTGGTAATTTGCTATAGCTGAGCCAAAGTGTCAAGATTGAAGTTGAAGATTTTTACATCGCAGAGACTGTCATGATAA